GCTACACCCCCTCTGCACTGGCTGAGTCTCCCCCATTTGGACTCGCAGCGTCTTCTGGCTGGGTCACCATCCGAGCCTCCGGATGGCCCTCCCAGCTGCCGTCTGCAGCTCTGATGGGCCAGGATGGTTCCAGGCCACAAAGCAAGCCACAGCGTGTGCACCTCCCGGCGCCAGCAGGGTCCTCCTGCCCCTCCGACCTGGCTAATTCCCAGACCCTGAGAGAAGGCACTCAAAGGTCCCCTGCTTGCTCCTGATGATAGCGCCTGCTGTACACTTAGGCCCATTTCACTGTATGCATCCAAAATACTGTTTCCCACGCATCCCATGGGTTTGCCTAGTCCCACCCCTTTAGCAGAGCAGTCCCATCCTCTTCATCCATCTCCAACTTCTCCTCAAGGCTCAGCCTTCCTGGCTGGTGCAGGATGGCTAGGGGTGCTCTAGTGTCTCTCCCTGCCCCTGCTGGGAGCTGCAGTGCTGTTGTCACTATTCTTTGATTAGCTCTGTCTCCAATATTTGATGTAATGCCTGATTCAAAAAATTCACTCAGGGGACTGGGAAGATAGCTTAGTTGTCTAACCATCTGCCTGTCGAAAGCAAGGATCAAGGTTTCAGCCTTGGTACCATACGCACCATACTGGCCACTGAAACTGGGTGTGGGGACACACACCTGTAGTCCTAACGCTGGGGAGACTGAAACAGGAGGTTCACTCCAAGTCTGAGCTGCATAGTGAGACCCTGTACCAAATACATAAATAAATAAATGATTTAATTTTTTTAAAAAATGTATTTGGTACAAGGTCACACTACACAGCTCAGACTCATAGTGATCCTTCTGTTTTCAGCCTTCCCAGTGCTGGGATTACAGGCGTGTGCGCGCTACCGTGCTCGGACTCGGTTAGTAGCTCAGTATGCCCCAGGGTGGGGCTGGTGCAGCAAGTGGTGCCCGGCATCCAACCGCGGTCCCTGCACTTGCCTAAGCAGGCACTTAGTCCGCTGAGCTATCTCACTGGCCCTTAAATTTTTTTTTTTTTTAAAAGAAAGTCACTCAGTAAATGTTTGCTGATGAACACAGGAATGAAGCAATGACTATTCCTGCTCCGCCACTGATTATGAATTTGACATCAATATTCTTTATAAAGTTTTTTATGTATTTAGTGCAGGGTCTACAGGGTCTCACTACATAGATCAGACTCATACTGATCCTCCTGTTTTTAGCCTCCCAAGTGCTGGGATTACAGACACGTGCCACTATGCCCAATCTCAATCACTGTCTCAGCACACCCCAGGGACGGGGCCAGCGCGGCATCCCAGGGATCGAACCCCGACCTCTGTGCTCTGCGTAAGAAGGCGCTTTAGTCCACTGAGCTATCTAGCCCGCCCACAAATATTCTTAATCATGGAACTGATTAATCACTTTGTTCTAGTGTCTAGCGTTGTGCATACATGTCCATGTGTACATCTGTGCACACACACATATACACAAGAGAGAACCCCATAGTGCTTCCTTTTATTTTATTTTTTGGTGGAACTGGGGATTGAACTCAGGCCTTCGCACTTGCCAGGCAAGTGTTTATTCTACTGAGTCATCTCCCTGGCCCAGTGCTTCCTTTTAGAAGAAATTTCCTAGGGTAAGGTTATTTTTTGACAAGAAACAGTAAATACATACGAACATATATATTCACATGCTCTAATCACATTTCTTAGACACGTTAGGGTCAATTCTTCTGATGTTCTTCATTATTGAAATAGATTTTACAAGGTCACAAGAGAGAGGAACAAACGCGCTGGTAACATGGCGCCAGAAGCTACTGGTGACTAGAGACACATCAGGGCCCGCAGCCTGTACCCAGGAAGGACAGGTTTGTTTTTTTATCCCGTATTTTAGGGAAGGGTCTACAGTGTTCAGGGTCTCTCTTCTGGATCGGACTCATCATAGGAAGGACAGTGTTGACTGCAGACTTCCCTGTGCCTTTTTGGTGGGATGGGGGTGCCTACGGACACCTGCAGGCCAGGGATCCTGCCGGGCTGGGGTACAGAAGGGGCTTCCCTGCACACTGCGCAGAACAGGGACGAGGGGCAGCCCAGGGTGAGCCCCCCAAAAGGCCCTCTGAGCACGCTGCCCACCAGGAGAGGACTGGAAAGAGGGGAAAAAACAGGTGAAAGCAGGGGGCAAGGATAACAGATTTGTGCCCGCGCCATCATGTGGGTTTTCAACTAGGTGTGCTTCCTTTTAACAAGTGCAATTTTTTTTTCTTAATGCTATTTAGGTTGTGTTAAGAATAAAATACATCTTTATTAAAATTCAACTAATTATAAATTCCTAGAAGTTTCCCTATACTTTTGACTGGTAATTACATACTCATGCTAACATATTCAAAATAAACCCAATGTGTAACTCACGACGATCAAAAATAGACGAAGCTGGTGCAGTGGTGCACAGCGCAATCCCAGCACATGGATGCTGAGACACGATCACAAGTTCAAGACTTGCCTGGGCACTTAGTGAGACCCTATTTTTAAAAAAGATACGAAGGGCTCAGTACCATCAAAGGAAAAAATCCAATGATGTATGAATCCAGTGCTAAGCTGACATATCTACTACAATCTGCTTATAATTTCTAGAATAGCCCATAGATACAATCAAGACAGGTTCATCTTGGTTTGTTCAAGCCTGAATAGCAAGATTGCCAAGGACCCAATTACTTTATAAGCAGATACTTTAATTGAATAATAGGTAATATTAGCTTAGATATTTCCTACACTTTTCTATTTTGTGATTTTTATGAGAATATTCACTACTACTTCTATGTAAGTAAGAGGCTCCAGGGGATATTTTTACCTCTGAACAAGAGTAACTATCCCATAATCACCCCAAAATAATATTTAAGTGTTTCTTCTATTGTGGTGGGGTCCACAATATAGAATACAGTAGCCCACAAATGTTAATTATGATCTTGAAATAAAAAAGAAGCTCAAAGTCAAAGCAACTTATGTGATCAAGAATAAAGGGCGTTTGAGCCCCTCCATAGATGGGAACGAGTGACAAAGCTGGACTTCGTGCACCGAGTACAGCCCATGGTGCTGCGATTGTGGCGCTGTTGTCCTCCGTGGGGTACCGGGCCACGATAGGGAATATGCCAGTGTGACGGAGCCAGAGAGTGAAGCTTCCACCCAGGAGCCGCTTTTGGACTTCTCTGAGAGCACCCAGAGAACACCGCGTCTAAGTGTGCCTGCACATCTACAATAGCAATATTGATATTTCTCCATGTTCCCTTCTGGTTGCTAAGAGATTTACGTCGGACAGACTCTGTTGTGCTCACCACAAAGCAGTTGCGTCCACAGAGCATTTGCTTCAGCTCGGTGAGTCCCAAAGCCTCCCTTACCTCACCCCTTCCCCATTTGGCTTCCAAGTCACACAGGGGCCCAGACAGGGAGGCGGCAGCAGGGCAGCATCACTGCACGGGAGCCTGCTGAGGCTGGCACCCTGCATACAGCGCCAACCTGAAGGAGGACCCCGTCTGTCCACACAGATGTACGTCCCTTTCCACATGTGTCTCAAAAGTCCATTTATCACCATGTATGGGCTGGGGCAGAGGAACAGAAGTGCAGACAGGGAGCAATCAACAGTGACCTTCCCACAGACCGGCCCAGTAAGATTAGAGCAGAATCCAGCAAAATATGGGAGCTTCATGAGGCCACACTGGGCACAGCTCTCTGAGGTATGCCTGCACCGAAGTCTTCACTCTACTGGCACTTTGATGAAAACACGCTCAAGAAGTTTATTTACAAGAATATAAAAGTGGGAGCGAGCTATATTTAACATCATGCAGCAAACACAACTGGAACCTGCTAAATTGGGTCTTATAAAACCTATTCTGCTGCAAAAGGCAGAGAGCTGCCTTTAGCTCCGCACTCAGAAGAAAATGGCAAAGGTACCCAAAATACTCGCGGTCACTCTGAAGTGAGGAGTGTGCAGCAGAGGGGATCTGCGTGTCATTTAGAAGGCACATGCTTTGGTGCTCAGAAAAATGAAAACCGTCTTCCCCTGGGGGATTCTCACAAAGACACATAAAAATGCTTTACGATTTGGCTTCCACGTCCAGATCACAGGCTTCGTCCATGTTTATTCACTGCCACGCGGAGAAAGTGCTTGGCCTTGCTCTGCACCCATTCTCCAGGAGCCCCACCTGAGGGCCAACCCACCACATGCCAAGAACTCTCCGGCTAGAATCAGCCACCCCGACCTGGAGGCCCCCAGCCCCTGCCCCCATGCCGTGGGCTATGGGGGGTCATCCAAGTCCTCTCTCTGAGCTCAAGCAGCCAGTGCTGGAAGGTGGCAGGTCACAGCCACGTCACGGAGTGCCTGCATTTCAGGCAGCCTCTCACCCAGCTAGCACAAACAAGCCTGCTGTGATCTTAGCTGTACCCAACAACATAAAGTTATTTCTAGCAGCTCCTTCCATTGCCCATCCTACCTAAAAAGAGGCCCCAAAGAGGGGAAGGACAACAGAGCAGGAAATGACTTTTCTGTCACATCTTTAAGGTCATGGATCTGCCTGAGAAACATGCACATGTGACACAGTTCCAGCATGACAGCTCCTTTTCCACGAGCCAGCCCTCTATGAAGTACAAAGGCTGGTCCTCTGGCCTCTCCCCCAACCCAAGTCACCGCAGCACATTTAACCTTGACCAGGCTGGCAAGAAACTACTTTTAACTCCCTGGCAACACCTTCCCATGTCCCCGAGACATGTCCGAGGCACTGGGAAGTGAGGCAAACCTTCCGCAGAGCCCCGCAGAGCCCCCCAGGAGGAAGCCGACCTGGCCAAGCCAGCCAGTGGCCATGCTCTAGCCCTGGGCTTCATCCCCAGACCCCATTTCCACCCCAATTTACACTCTACACAGCATGCAGAAAGAGCCCTTCACGCTTCTTCCAGATGCCAGGAGGAGATTAAAACAAAAAGAATCCAGGCAAGATCAATGCTCTGGCACACATAGCTACCTTTTTCTTCCGATCCCGGGACCGTTTGCGGTGTTTCCTTTTCTTCTCGGTCTCTTCTTCAGCATTGATTTCTAAATCCCGGTTTTTCTTTAACTGTGAGGCTGCATGAGCCATAATGCATTGAAAAGGATCCTGTCAGGCGCTCAGGGCTTCCTTTCAAAGGTGATCTCCTCGGGCACCTTTAATCAGGCGTACAACGGCATTCCGCTCCACAGAGAGAAGCCTTGGACTGGAAGCAGGAAGGCATTCAGAAGGCAAAGATGCTGGAGAAGCGGAAGCTTTTAGAAAGCAGAACGGTGGAGTCCAGGCTTCATCCTGCACCTTCCTTTACCTGAGCCGCAGCTCGAGAGTGCAGCCATTGTAATGCATGAACCGGAGTGCAGGGAGCTGGGACAGAGGAGGCTGTGTTATGCTGTGTCCCCTGCCACCAGCTGGGAGTGTCTAAGTGATTCCTCCGAAGGGGGATGCTGCACAGGATGCTGCTCCGAAGGGAAGAGAGAGAGAGGCACTACGCGTGCAGCAGCAAAACCCAGCACTAATTCTGAAAAACTATTTTAGCATCCTTCAAAAACAGAGAGAAAGGGCTGCGATTTATGCACCACCACTAGATCTGCACAGAGCACAATTTAACCCATCGTAGAATGGAGCGGTTCCCACTTCAGTTCAACTGCTGATGGAGACAAAATATATAAAATAAGACTTCAAAAAATACGCTGAATTCGCCTGGGAGAGGCTGACTGCATTATGAGGGGAACAATGCGCGCATTGCCGGCTCAACAGTGCGTCCTTTATGCGGAGTTATCAGCCCCAGCGCGTCCTGTGGAGGGACTACAGCAGGGCTTGTCGTCGTTGAAAAACAACACGCTGATGACAACACATTGCACAGAAAGCCGCGAGCATGGTGGTGTAGGGAACAGATGCCTGGCTCACGGGAGGCTCTCTAGGTCGACCCTCTCCTGGTGTGCTGGGGTCCCAGGGTCAGGGAGGGAGGGCAGCACAGGCGCCAGCGCTCACAAGCTGCTGAGATACAGGCCAGCTTTCCCGTGAGGCTTTGCTTCAATCACCTTACTATTTCTGCCACCTGAGTCCTCAATGACTGCAGCCTCTGAATATTCATGGTGTGAAGTGAGGCAGCAGCAGTGATCGGGGCCCGCCAGGGCGTCTTCTGGGAGCACACACGCACTGGAAGAAATCTAATAAGTGGAACTCATTCACACACACGCCCGCATGCACACATACACGGAGTGGCAGTTTTAGCAAGAAACTGCTGCAGTGTTAGGCTACACCTAAATGCATGGCCTGAGATAAGAAACCCTAATCCCATGGAGAAAATAAGGAGAAAACAAAGATGTTCTTCTACCAAGGAGACTTAGTATGTGAATCCAAAGGCTCAAGTGGTTCACCCTGGCCTTGCGGGTGCGACAGGACACGGTGTGGCGCCTCCAGGGAAGATCTGCTCAGGTTCTCCAAGTCTGCTCCCCTGCTTCACCCAAAATCCCAAGAGCCAACTCCTACCGGCAACTTCTACTCGCCATCTCTCTGATTTAAAGTCAAAGCCCTTTCCCTTCTTCCCTCCTGAGGCACTCTTTTGAGTTTGCCACGCAGTGATAGGAGATGGAAGGAAAAGGTTCAAGGACCACGGCATCCTTTGCTTACTCCAAGCACACTTCTCTGAGAGCCACACAAAACCACTCTGGTGCAGGGGTACTGAGGGCCTACTATGCACACCACTCCTCAGGTGCTTGCTTTCCACAGGCACTATCTTCACAAAGAGTTCCAGAAGGTTTCTCCACAGCTTGCAGAAGCACCTTTCTGACCAATGCGGGGGAGGGGAGACAGAGAATTAAATGTAACCCGGATCCAAAGGCAGAAAAATCACATTTAGCTTCATAATAAAAAAAAAAAAAACAAAAACAAGTGTTTCTACAGGACATTTTTAGTATATAATGGGTGGAGCAAAAAAAGAATAAAAATTAAAATTTTTCTATGCATCTTTCTAGTACCAATCCTATTATACTTTTGAGGAACAGTCATACAATTTCTTTATTTTCTTTAAGTTGAAGAGAACAGTAGCTAAAACATTGGCTGGTTTCCCCCTGGCTTCTGGGCCTCCTTTATAGACACTAATGATACTGTAAAATCTACTGTATTTATAAGTACCCTTGATCAAGGTAACTGCATCAGGAACTGGCAAGGCACCATGCTGCTCATTGATCTGCGTCTGCCAAAGGAGAGTTGGGGATCAGGAAAACAACACACAGGTATTTTTCAGCCCATTCCTTTCTAGAAGGATTCCTTGTGTTCCCACAATCTCCAGAAGTAGAGACTGCATAATTACTTTCATTACCAGAATGTGAATTTGGGGTTAGCCTGGGCTTTCCCTTACCAGTAAGTGGTCAGTCCATCAAAAATAACTTTAACTGTAGCTTATGTAGGTTCTCTTTCTGACATGAAATGTGTGCTTTTGTCTTCCATCGCTGAACTAGAAGAACTCTGAGAAGTGCTCTAGCCAGGACGGCAGCCCTGGCTCCTGGGTTCTGGCCATTGCATTACCAAAGGCTGAGTCCTTTCCTCCTTACCCTGCACATACCCTGCCAAACAGCTGCCAGGCTCCATGGGCTCTTACGGTCAACCCAAGGCACTAACACGAGAGAGCTACACAGGCCAGTTCCCTCGAACTGGAGCCAAAATGACAATTCCATTAATAACCCTAGAAAGGAAAGTTTGATAAGAACTGAAATGGAGGTATTTTGAGACTTAAAAGAAGCTCTTTTCCCTGACTAAAGTTTCAAACTTTTCCACTTAGCTCCCAAGAGTGTGTCCCCATTATAAAACTAGTGTGACTCTTCTGCACACCCCCGTCGGGCTCGTCCAAGCTGGCCCAAGTGTCTGAGAAGTCTGGTGGTCCCTGACTGTGACAGGGTCAGGGCGCAGACGGACACATGGCTCAGGCAGTCAGTGGTCCCCAGGTCTAGCCCAACTTCTCCACCCTCCTCCTAACGCACAGGAAGGGGACGGCCAGTGAGGAGCATGTCAAAGCCATTGAAGTTGAGTCACAACAATATTCAAGTGACTTGTTTCATAAAAAACCCCAAGCACAAGAATTCCTAACCACCTTTTCAAAATAGGGGACAAGAATGAGCTTTCAAACTTCACTAGCCCAAGAAGACTTTGTTTTTGTTTATTTTTTGAGACACGGTCTTGCTATAGTATAGGCCAGCCTCGAACTCACTACGTAGTTCAGGTTGGCCCGGAGCTTGCAGAGACCCTCTTGCCTCAGCGTCCTGAGTGCTGGGACTGCAGGGTGTGCCGCCACCCTGGCTGTAAGAAGACTTTCTCCAAATAGGTTGTTCAGAAAAGGCAGCTGGAAGAGGCACAGCAGGGCTGCTCAGGCAAACTGAAGCGCTGAAGTCCCCAAGCCCTGTCTCTTCACCGTCCCCAACCTTTGTGAGGAAGATGCATTTTTAGAGCCATGTGTCCCAGCAAAGCAGCCCAGGTTTGTCCTTGCTCTGACCCGTCACCACAAGTTATGTGAACAGGGGATTCCTTCTGTTAAAATTTTCTTCCTTCCTTTGTCCTCAACATTTCTTGATTTCTTATTTGAACTAAGGATTTCCAACCAGAGGTCTTCCTGAGCATGCATTAGGCCATGTAATAAAATTTATGTTTACTACAACAAAAGCAAAAAGCACTTCATCATTTGAAAAACAAATTATGTTTATACTGCAAGCATCTACTCCAGGAATCAAATAACTGTGACGAAAACCTCCACTGAAAATAAGACCAGATCACTTCATTGGGAGACTTACAGACAGCGCTGCACATAGCTGAGGAATCTGCATTTTCTTTTCCATTTTTACATACGCTTTTCCAGTCCTTCAAGATAAACCTTGAAATTGTTTCAACCACTTGATAACCCACTGGCTCTGAGCTGTCTTCTCTCATTTTATCTCTACATTGTTGAACAGATTAACAAACAAACAATAACGCCTGTCATTTCTATGGGGATGGCACTGCCATGTGGAGATGCTGAGGTTACAATTTCTGTGTGCTTTGCAAGAGTATTACGTAGTGACATGGACACGTGGGAGATGAGATACAGAATAGCAAAGGTGGGAAGCAAGAAAAAGCCTAAGGAGAGGAGTGGTTCGAGTACAGGTTAGGAGCCTGTCCTTCGGGCTCTGGGTTTTCTACACTGAGGCGAGCGTATGCTTTAGTGGGATGAAAATGGTTTCTAGTTATGTCCTCTTCAGTTTCTTAGAAGTGGCACAGCCTTGCCACAAGAGTGAAAATAGTTCTCTTCCAGCAGGCAAATGGATCTACTGTCATCTTATTAATCTTGGCATCCTGGAGAGAGATGACCAGAGGCCTTAGCAAGTTCTGAGCAACGAGGGGGACAGAAAGAAAACAGGCACTGAACCCATCAGAGGCTCTAAATGACAGGAAAACACCCCAGGAGGTTCTGACCTCATGGACACATAGTATTCTTTGTTTTCAGATGAGATGTCATTCCTTAAAAAGGGGTGTGTGGAGCCAGGTACCCCTGCAGGATGACGGTCCCCATGTCTAGTAGGGAGTGGCACCTCCAGATCCCGGGCCTTGGACCCATCTGTCTCAGCACTCAGCCTGCCTTCCTTCTCCACAGTGTGCTGCCCATCCCACTACCCAGCCTGATCTGGGCACCACAGAGAAAGCCAGCTGGTCCCCAGCTTGCCAGCTGCTTCGGTCACCTCGCCTGGGCAGAAGGCGGTAAACACATGGAGATGGCAGCTCCGCGGGTCCTGCCTTGCTCCTGCAGTGGCTGCAAAGAGGAGCAGACCTGGACTGTGTAGGGAAGGGCCCATGTCCACATCTGTGCTTTCGGCCTGACCCAAAACAGGCAGGGACTATGGAGCAGAACTCGGAACACGCAGCAGCCGCTGGAAGCGGTATATGCCAGATGGACTGGGTGGGCTGTGTCCTTTCTGGGCTGCTGTCTGACAGGTAGAAGCAGGAGCGGGGCAGCTGGGAGACACCCTGAGTACTCCGGCTCATGCAGAGAGACAGAAGGCAGCAGTAAATGGGATGTAAGGAGGATACCTTGGGAAGGTGCAACAGAAGACTATGGTCTGCACTGGCCCAAACAACAGCTCATGACCTGACAGGTCCCGGGCTGGAAATGGGAGCAGCACAAGTAGACAATGGAATTTTATTTCCAAAATTTTAATTTTAGGGACTGGAGAGATAACGTGGTGGTCTAAGTGCCTGCTTGGCAAGTGC